ACAGCCGCTGCTGAGTTGGTGACAACCAGCAGCTTCGCAGGAGGTGGCGGGGCCCGTCATCGGCAGTGATCGAGGAGGCGGGGCCCGGCGATCGATGGGGCGGGGCCCGGCGATCGAGGAGGCGGGGCCCAGTGACGGAGGAGTCGATCGTGGAGGAGAAGGAGGCGGACAGAGGATCAGGGCTGACAGGTAAGAGTGCTTGACCGCCCACCTGAGACCCTGCAGAGCCCGCCATAGAGAGTCTATGGTGGGCTCTGCAGGGTCACCCTTAGGTGGGCTTTTTGGGTTATCAGGTGGGCGTAACTAGAAATCACAGGGCCCCATACAAAATGTTGCTAAGGGGGGCCCTGTGATTTCTAGTTACGCCCCTGCCTCTGATTAATTGTTGTTTGAGATCCTTGGCCCATCTTCCACCTTGAACAATGTTGTTGATCGTCTTAGAGAGAGTTCATACCGCCGAAGGAAGTTATCCAGCCAATGTCGTGACGCTCGGAATTCCTCTGAGGATATATCCATCTTTGGCGCCATCGCAAGGGCAAACGCTTGAATATCAGCCCTGCGCACAACCAAAGCCTTGGCCCTCCTGTCAGCAATCCATTCACAAGTGATGTCTTCCAAATGTGGAAATAACGTTTGCCGACCTGATCCACACTTGCGCTTCTTAGCTTTTCCCACGTCCACCTGTTGACTGAGGGCATTGTAGTCTGCTCGCCATTTTCGGACCAATCGGAGATCCAACTTCTTCTCTCGGCAGTAAGCTGTAAGATTCTTGCCGCATGATTCTTCTACAATTCTTTTCTTGTACTCGACGGAATAGCTCTTTCTCGTGGCGCTCATCTTGTCTGGGGGGTCAGAATACAGTATAATTCTGTTTAAATCTACCATGAAAGCAAGTACGATAATACAATGCCTACGGTACAGGTCACTTGGGGGGTCCGGACAGGAGTAAGAGGGCCCCATTAACCAAAAATTAATCGCAGAACGTTTCCAGGCACAGTCACTCACCAGCCGGCATGCAAAAAACCTTTCTAACCGCTAAGGTTAAAAGCAGAGGTTTGGATGCACGTCTTCTGCAGAATATGTGAAAGCCGCACAGCCGCGCCAAGGCACCTCTATATAGTGCGGTCCTAACTCTAAACTGTGAGAGTCTCCATCTTGGAGCACATGGGGGCAAAAAGATTAAATTGGGTGCAGGTTTGTCAGGAGGAAGCCCAGCCTCCCTTAAAAGGTACAGGTAGGGACCCCCGCACATCACAACGGCAGCCGAGACCCCTCATGCGTCACTGCACCAAATCAGTCAAGCAAAACAAATGGCAAACGCACTCATCAATTCGTCACCAGCTTTACAGCAAGGCGCACCTTCCGTGTGCACCTTGCTGTAAAGCTGGTAACGAATTGATGAGTGCGTTTGCCATTTGTTTTGACATTAAAGGAGAACTATGAGGGGGAGGGGCTTTTCACTCACCTCATAGTTCTAGCCGACCTGTGACAATGAGACTGTCACAGGTCGGCTCAGTAGATCGGGAGGTGAGCGAACACATACCGGCGTTCACTCACCTCCCGATCCTGTCACGGCTCTCTGCCGTGACAGGGGGAGGGGCTGGATTCCCGGCTCCCCGCTCCGATCTGCCTGACTGGCGGAACGGACGGGGGAGGGGCGGGTACAGCTGGCTCTGCCTCTAGATAGGCGGAGCCAGCTGTCACTCACGCAGCTGGGCGGATCCCGTCGTCTAAGTCGTGGCTGAGGCGTCTCAGTATACTGCGAGCTGTAGCTCCCTATATACTGAGCCTAGGGTGACGGGAGGACGCTAGTTTGTGTCCTCCCGTTACCCCAAGGAGAACTAAGGGGAAAAGCCTTAACCCCCTACTTCTCCTTTAACCAAAAAGACACTGTACAGTACGGTACCTGGCTGCAGCTTGTCTGGAGCTCTGTAATGCCGTCCAGGGAGCCAATCACAAACTCCCTCGCCTCAGCTTTGACCCCACTGGCCATGCCGCCGGGCCCGCTGGGAAACGTAGTTTTCCAGCGTTTTTAACACTCCTTGCTACACTCCAACAGACCCCTTGCTGGCTGCTTGGACGCATGTACATGTGCGCCCCCCTACCGCCGAACTAGGTCTTATTTTCGGTGGTAGGTCTTCTATTACTGAAATCCCTGAAGATAGCGCTAGGTCTTATTTTCGGTGGTAGGTCTTACTTTCGGGGAAACACGGTATATCCATGGCTATGGAACAGCTCCATGGCAGTCGGCCGGAGGTCACTTCTACGTATTGGCAATCATTGACTATGCCGCCCGATGCCCTGAAGCCATTCCCTTGTAGAAAACCTCAATGAAATCGATTACCAGTGGACCTACTATATCCATGGCTATGGAACAGCTCCATGGCAGTCGGCCGGAGGTCACTTCTACATATTGGCAATCATCGACTATGCCGCCCGATGCCCTGAAGCCATTCCCTTGCTGAAAATCTCATCCAGCGCGATTGCCCGAGAGATGTTCCAGATGGTTTTCGAAGGCTGGTTTTCCCAAGCAGATACTTACAGACCAGGCCACTCCATTCATGGCAGATGTGGGCAAGGTGTTCCAGATTAAGCAGCTACACGCGGTCTACCATCCACAGACAGATGGCTTGGACAAACACTTTAATAAGACCTTAAAGGCCATACTTAAGAGAGTGGTAGAGAAATATGGTAGGGTTTGGGACTGTTTGCCCTTCGGGAGGTACCTCAAGTTTCCACGGGTTCTCACCCTTTAAGTTGATGTATGGGGGGAGACTCTACGGGTTGCTTCTTCAACATCTAGAATATGTCACCCAGTTGCAAGAAAAAAAACATAAAAGGTCAAGGTCATCATGAAGGTCCTCTGGTCAAGGAACATGTGCAAAGTGCCCAGGAGGCCCAACTCTAAGTTCACAATAGATCGGCTAAGATGAGGCACTTTCTAGTGGGAGATCGATTCACAGTGCCAATTCCCACTGTGGACAGGAAGTTGTCAAACTGTGTGTTTGCTGGCTTGCTAAAAAGATGTTTTACAAACTTGCTGGGACTGTTCCTGGGTGTCCTCCTCTTACGCACGGTTTATACAAATGTTTTCATTTAATTAAATATATATATATAAATGTACTTACAGACCAGGCCACTCCATTCATGGCAGATGTGGGCAAGGTGTTCCAGATTAAGCAGCTACACGCGGTCTACCATCCACAGACAGATGGCTTGGACAAACACTTTAATAAGACCTTAAAGGCCATACTTAAGAGAGTGGTAGAGAAATATGGTAGGGTTTGGGACTGTTTGCCCTTCGGGAGGTACCTCAAGTTTCCACGGGTTCTCACCCTTTAAGTTGATGTATGGGGGGAGACTCTACGGGTTGCTTCTTCAACATCTAGAATATGTCACCCAGTTGCAAGAAAAAAAACATAAAAGGTCAAGGTCATCATGAAGGTCCTCTGGTCAAGGAACATGTGCAAAGTGCCCAGGAGGCCCAACTCTAAGTTCACAATAGATCGGCTAAGATGAGGCACTTTCTAGTGGGAGATCGATTCACAGTGCCAATTCCCACTGTGGACAGGAAGTTGTCAAACTGTGTGTTTGCTGGCTTGCTAAAAAGATGTTTTACAAACTTGCTGGGACTGTTCCTGGGTGTCCTCCTCTTACGCACGGTTTATACAAATGTTTTCATTTAATTAAATATATATATATAAATGATCTGCCAAGCACGCCCACCGTATTAGAGAACAGCGCCTACAGAGAGTGCTCAGCTCTCAGATGGGTGTGTGGGGTCTCAGGTCGGCTATGCGGGGTCGCAGTTGGGCTGTGCTAAGTCTCAGAAGGGCTACACTGGCTTTAAGAAGGATGTGCGGGAAGTGTTGTGGTCTCACCAGGGGTCCGGAGGCAGGCCGTGTGCTGTCAGGAAGGAGCTGGAGGAGATGTGCGGGCCGGTGTCTGTTTACAGGCGCCCGCGGCTTTGCCGCGGACTTCAGGCAGCCCAATCTGTCAAAAAATCTAAAGTGCCGGCACTTAGTGTCTTGTGTCTGTTTGTCAGCTGGCCTGACAACTGGACACAAGACTCAAAAACAGGACTGCCTGGGGGAATCCCGGATGGGTGGCAACCCTAACTAACCCACCACAGTCTTCTGTTCAATGAAATCCTCACCATTGACAGCCGTCCTTGTGACAGAAAAATTAATTAGCACATTTCCCGCACATTGTGTATAAACCTTTTATTGATTGAACGTTGCAAGTTATATTTTCTACATACAGCGCTTCAGATACATGTGACTCCGCCCACTACCAATTTGCTTAATATTTAAAACTATGGCAAAATAAAAGAATGAAAAACAACCTGAAAACTGATGAAGCAAATTTTAAAGTCCACACATTATTGTATAAATCTACGAATTACTGACAAGGTTATAAAAAGATTTCTTGCCACACCATCAGATTCTCCAAGACAGATGATGCCAAGAGAAGACTCGACCCAACAACATTCACCTACGAATAAAAATACCAAATTTATTCGGATGTACCCCTTTAAAAATTATTTCTTATCCTCCAGTTCTTCCATGGATTGAACAGTTCCACCTGCTAAAATCCATCCAAGGAGTCAGCAGGTCCATTCTCTCTGACATCTGGTTAGACTTATTTTACCTGCAAAGCTTTTCCCACACGCTAAATATGAAAAAGGTAGCTCATCTGTGTGAATTCTGAGGTGATTTACAAGGCTTCCTTCCAGAGATTTACACTTCCCGCACTCTTAACAAGTCGCTCATCGGTTTGGGTCCTCTAGTGTGGAACAAGACTTACTTTCTGAATGAAACTTTCCCGTGCTCTCAACATGAGAAAGAATGCTCGGGAGTGTAAGTTCTCTGGTGCTTAACAAGGTCTACTTTCTGAGTTAAAGATCTGCTCTGATTATGAAAGATTCTGCTCACGCGTGTGAAGTTTCTGGTGTCTAAGAAGCCTTTCTTTTACAGTGAAACACTTCCCGCAATCTGTACATAAATAAGGCCGTTCCCCTGTGTGAATTTTATGGTGTCTACCAAGGGATCCTTTGTCAATGAATGCTTTCCCGCACTCTGTACACAAATAAGGACGCTCACCTGTGTGAATTCTCTCATGTGTACGAACTTGTTGTTTCTGGGAGAAACTTTTCCCACACTCGGAACATGAATAAGGACGCTCGCCGGTGTGAACTGTCTGGTGCTTATTAAGGACTGCTTTCTGAGTAAAACATTTCCCGCACACTGAACAAGAAAAAGGACGCTCACCTGTGTGGGTTCTTATGTGTACATGAAGACTTCTTTGGCATGTGAAAATTTTACCGCACTCTGAACAGAAATAGGGGTGCACACCAGTGGGAATTCTCTGGGGTGTGAGAAGTTCTTTGTTTTCAGCCAAAAAATTCCCGCACAATGAACTTGAGAACAGATTCTCGTCACCCTAAACCCCAAAATAATAGAAAACATCTCATAAAGCTGAACTCCGGAGAGATATAAAAGGAATGCAGCTCTGTATTCATGAAATGTTTTTGTTTAACCAGTGTAAGTACCTGAATGTGACCTGGTGTCATCCTCTGGGAATCAAGAGGAAGGAGACTTCTCTCTGGTGGGTTTGTTTCACGGGATGGTTCTATCATGACGACATTGAAAGGGTCTTTGTGTTCTTCTGAAAACTTCTCCATCACACCAACCTCCTCCTCCTCTTTTATCTCTTCTTTAACATCATCATCACAATCACTCTGGTTTATACCCTGAATATTGAGAACAATGAGATCAGATGTAACTACATAGATAATGATCAGGCATATGGAAGTATCTCCTATTATTTCTCTATTTCACCTTATGTGAGTAGTTGTGATCTTCCTGGGTGGGATCCCGGGAATACAGAGGACGGGGACATCTCTCTGGTGGGTTCCTCTTACTGGATCCATCTGTAGGAAACACACACACTGACTGAATACATTGTTTCTATGTGTGTATCAGATGATGGGGGATGTAGGCGGAGCCTCCGTACTGCTCTCTCCTCTTACCCGGTGATGTGAGGGGCGGCTCATTCTCCATCACGACGTCCTTGTAGAGATCCCGGGGTCCTTCTAGATGCTCCTCCATGGAATTATCCCGATGCCTTATAGGAACCTGACACACACAATGATACAGTCACCACCCAGACACGCCCCTTGTCTGTTCCCGGATCATGTCCCAGAATTCCCGGCACCGCTCACCTCTCCCGTCATCAGCTCCATCATCTTCTTGATGACTTCTAGAACCTTCTTCTCATTGTTCCTCTCGGGCTTCATGGAGTGAGGTGAAGGCACTGTGATGGTTATACAGTCACCAGACTTCACCGGAGGAAAACTCTGTTTTGAAAGAGCAAAAGTAATGTCATGTGACCTCCCAGAATCCTCCTCACCTCTCCGGTCAGGTCTGCGTGTTATGAATAGAGATAAGAGTGACGTCATGTGACCTCCCTGAATCCTCCTCACCTCTCCGGTCAGCAGGTAGATGATCTCCAGGGTGAGGTCCAATATCCTCTCAGTCACGTGACTCGGGTCATCGTCCATCCTTGTTGATGTGATCATGTGATCCATAGAAGTCTCTGATTTCACTGCAGTGCTTACCAGCAGAGGAAAGTTAAAGAGACCCTGTCACCAACATAACATAATGCTGGTCAAAGGTCAGAAAGAAATCAAGTCTGCTAAATTCTTACTTTTAGAAATGTTCCTCCTGAATAAATTACTTTTTATTTACTTGGAATATATCTCCGATCTCCCTAGAACATGAACTACTCCAGGAAGAGTCCATTCCCTGTACAGAGTGCCGGGGTCAGGGGGACACAATGCAGATTTTGTGACTTGGATGTATCCGGTCTATAAATGGCGGCTCTGGATGGACAGTTGGATAAATGGCTCTATATTTAGGATGTATCCGGTCTATAAATGGCGGCTCTGGATGGACAGTTGGATAAATGGCTCTATATTTAGGATGTATCCGGTCTATAAATGGCGGCTCTGGATGGACAGTTGGATAAATGGCTCTATATTTAGGATGTATCCGGTCTATAAATGGCGGCTCTGGATGGACAGTTGGATAAATGGCTCTATATTTAGGATGTATCCGGTCTATAAATGGCGGCTCTGGATGGACAGTTGGATAAATGGCTCTATATTTAGGATGTATCCGGTCTATAAATGGCGGCTCTGGATGGACAGTTGGATAAATGGCTCTATATTTAGGATGTATCCGGTCTATAAATGGCGGCTCTGGATGGACAGTTGGATAAATGGCTCTATATTTAGGATGTATCCGGTCTATAAATGGCGGCTCTGGATGGACAGTTGGATAAATGGCTCTATATTTAGGATGTATCCGGTCTATAAATGGCGGCTCTGGATGGACAGTTGGATAAATGGCTCTATATTTAGGATGTATCCGGTCTATAAATGGCGGCTCTGGATGGACAGTTGGATAAATGGCTCTATATTTAGGATGTATCCGGTCTATAAATGGCGGCTCTGGATGGACAGTTGGATAAATGGCTCTATATTTAGGATGTATCCGGTCTATAAATGGCGGCTCTGGATGGACAGTTGGATAAATGGCTCTATATTTAGGATGTATCCGGTCTATAAATGGCGGCTCTGGATGGACAGTTGGATAAATGGCTCTATATTTAGGATGTATCCGGTCTATAAATGGCGGCTCTGGATGGACAGTTGGATAAATGGCTCTATATTTAGGATGTATCCGGTCTATAAATGGCGGCTCTGGATGGACAGTTGGATAAATGGCTCTATATTTAGGATGTATCCGGTCTATAAATGGCGGCTCTGGATGGACAGTTGGATAAATGGCTCTATATTTAGGATGTATCCGGTCTATAAATGGCGGCTCTGGATGGACAGTTGGATAAATGGCTCTATATTTAGGATGTATCCGGTCTATAAATGGCGGCTCTGGATGGACAGTTGGATAAATGGCTCTATATTTAGGATGTATCCGGTCTATAAATGGCGGCTCTGGATGGACAGTTGGATAAATGGCTCTATATTTAGGATGTATCCGGTCTATAAATGGCGGCTCTGGATGGACAGTTGGATAAATGGCTCTATATTTAGGATGTATCCGGTCTATAAATGGCGGCTCTGGATGGACAGTTGGATAAATGGCTCTATATTTAGGATGTATCCGGTCTATAAATGGCGGCTCTGGATGGACAGTTGGATAAATGGCTCTATATTTAGGATGTATCTATCGTCTATATATATTTCTGATGGAGGTGAAAGGCATCATAGTGGATATGGGGGAACCAAATAAAACTTGATGGGGGGGGAGGGGTTACCGGGTGTAAATATAAAATAACATCTTCTTACCTCCTCTGCGGCCGCTTCCAGCAATTTCTCCTCTCTCGTTAGTCCCACCTCACCCCTCACCCAGGACTTCCTGTTTATGCTGCTACATCACTTCCTGTCTGTGCGAGCGAGCAAGATCACCGCCGTGTGTTGAATATAAATACTGCGGTCTATCGTATGTGTTTCGCTATTAGTGATTACAGACATTCATACGGCTCCTTACACACTGTACGTGGACATCACTCCCCGCCCGCCCGCGGAGCTGACAATCTAATGTCCCATCTCACGTACATAAACACACATATTACGGATAGCTTAGGAGTCAATTATCCGACCAGCGTGTCTTTGGAGTGTGAGAGGAAACCACACAAGCAATGGGGGGGGGGATGTCATGCAATCTCCATGGAGATGGTGTCCTGGTTGGGATTCAAACCGAGGAACCCAGTGTATGGTGAGGCCCGGGCTTCCAATATGGTGGACGGTGTGTATGTGTCATGAAGGCTCCTCACATACACATGGTGGGGGGTTTATGACTGATATGGGGGGGGGGGAAATT